GAACTGTGGGTGTTAATCACAAACATATGTGAATATTGGTATTAAGTCACATGGCGATATGAACTAGATTATTGACTCTGGTGCAAGTGGGAGACTGAAGGAAATATGCCCTAGAGGCAATAATAAAGTTATTATTTATTTTCTTATATCATGATAAATGTTTATTATTCATGCTCGAATTATATTAACCGGAAACTTAGTACATGTGTGAATACATAGACAAAACCTATAGTCCCTAGTATGCCTCTACTTGACTAGCTCGTTAATCAAACATGGTTATGTTTCCTAACCATAGACATGTGTTGTCATTTGATGAACGGGATCACATCATTAGGAGAATGATGTGATGGACATGACCCATCCGTTAGCTTAGCATTATGATCGTGTTAGTTTCATTGCTACTGCTTTCTTCATGACCTATACAAGTTCCTCAGACTATGAGATTATGCAACTCTTGAATACCGGAGGAACACTTTGTGTGCTACCAAACGTCATAACTTAAAAGGGTGATTATAAAGGTGCTCTACAGGTGTCTCCGAAGGTGTTTGTTGGGTTGGCATAGATCGAGATTAGGATTTGTCACTCCATGTTTCAGATAGGTATCTCTGGGCCCTCTCGAATACTCATCACTATAAGCCTTGCAAGCATTGTAACTAATGAGTTAGTTGCCAGATAAAATTACAGAACGAGTAAAGAGACTTGCCGGTAACGAGATTGAACTAGGTATTGAGATACCAACGATCGAAGCTCGGGCAAGTAACATACCGATGACAAAGGTAACAACGTATGTTGTTATGCGGTTTGACCGATAAAGATCTTCGTAGAATATGTAGGAAACAATATGAGCATCCAGGTTCCGCTATTGGTTATTGACCAGAGACGTGTCTCGGTCATTGATACATCTCCAACGTATCTATAATTTTTGATTGATCCATGCTATTATATTACCCGTTTTGGATGTTTATGGGCTTTACTTTACACTTTTATATAATTTTTGGGACTAACCTACTAACCGGAGGGCCAGCCCGAATTGCTGTTTTTTTGCCTATTTCAGTGTTTCGAAGAAAAGGAATATCAAATGGAGTCCAAACAGAATGAAACCTTCGGGAGTGATCTTTTTTGGAACAAACGTGATCCATAGGACTTGGAGTGCAAGTCAAGAAACAAGCAAGGCGGCCACGAGGGTGCTCGGCGCGCCCCCACCCTCGTGGGCCCCTCGATCGTCCACCGACATACTCCTTCCTCCTATATATACCCATGTACCCCGAAAACATCACGGGCGACCACGAAAAACTATTTCCACCACCGTAACCTTCTGTATCCGCGAGATTCCATCTTGGAGCCATTGTCGGTGCTCCGTCGAAGGGGGAATCCACCATGGAGGGCCTCTACATCATCTCCAAGGCCTCTCCGATGAGTTGTGAGTGGTTTACCACAGACCTTTGGGTCCATAGTTATTAGCTAGATGGCTTCTTCTCTCTCTTTGATTCTCAATACAAAGTTCTCCTTCCTCTTCTTGGAGATCTATTCGATGTAACTCTTTTTGCGGTGTGTTTGTCGAGATCCGATGAATTGTGGGTTTATGATCAAGTTTATCTATGAGAAATATTTGAATCTCCTCTGAATTCTTTTATGTGTGATTAAGTTATCTTTGCAAGTCTCTTCGAATTATCAGTTTGGTTTGGCCTACTAGATTGATCTTTCTTGCAATGGGAGAAGTGCTTAGCTTTGGGTTCAATCTTGCGGTGTCCTTTCCCAGTGACAACAGGGGCAGCAAGGCACGTATTGTATTGTTGCCATCGAGGATAAAAAGATGGGGTTTATATCATATTGCATGAGTTTATCCCTCTACATCATGTCATCTTTCTTAAAGCGTTACTCCGTTCTTCATGAACTTAATACTCTAGATGCATGCTGGATAGCGGTCGATATGTGGAGTAATATTAGTAGATGCAGGCAGGAGTCGGTCTACTTGTCACGGATGTGATGCCTATATACATGATAATGCCTTGATAATCTCATAATTATTCGCTTTTCTATCAATTGCTCGACAGTAATTTGTTCATCCACTGTAATAATTATGCTATCTTGAGAGAAGCCACTAGTGAAACCTATGGCCCCCGGGTCTATCTCTTATCATATAAGCTTTCAATCTACTTTTATTTGCATCTTTACTTTTCCAATCTATATCATAAAATACCAAAAATATATTTATCTTATCATATTATCTCTATCAGATCTCACTTTCGCAAGTGGCCTTGAAGGGATTGACAATCCCTTTGTGTTGGTTGCGAGTTCTTGTTTGTTTGTGTAGGTGTGTGGGACTTGTGAGGAGCCTCCTACTGGATTGATACCTTGGTTCTCAAAAACTGAGGGGAAATACTTACGCTACTGTGCTGCATCACCCTTTCCTCTTTAAGGAAAACCAACGCAAGCTCAAGAAGTAGCAGTCATGTCTACATAGTTCTTGAACCCATAGGGTCCACACACTTAACGTTCGATGACGATTGGTATTATGAGTTTATGTGTTTTGATGCACCGAAGGTAGATCGGAGTCACGGATGTGACCACGAACATGACGAGGAGCCTCGAAATGGCCGAGACATAAATATGGATATATTGGAAACCTATGTTTGGACATCGGAATGGTTCCGAGTGAGTTCGGGCATATATCGGAGTATCGGGAGGTTACCGGAACCCCCTGAGAAGTATATGGACTTTATTGGGCCATAGTGGGAGAGAGGAGGAGGAGGCCAGGTGGAGGGCGCCCTCGAAGCCCAATCCGAATTGGGTGGGAGGCCACCCCCTTGCCTTCCTCCCTCTATCCCCCTTCCTTCTCTCCTAGTCCAACTAGGGAAGGGGGGGAATCCTACTCCCGGTGGGAGTAGGACTCCTCCAGGGCGCGCCATAGAGGGCCGGCCCTCCCCCTCCTCCGCTCCTTTATATGCGAGGGAGGGGGACACCCCATAGACACACAAGTTGACATTGTTTAGCCGTGTGCGGTGCCCCCTCCACAGTTACACACCTCGCTCATATCGTCGTAGTGCTTAGGCAAAGCCCTGCGCCGGTAACTTTATCATCACCGTCACCATGCCATCGTGCTGACGAAACTCTTCCTCGGCCTCAACTGGATCAAGAGTACGAGGGACGTCCCCGAGCTGAACGTGTGCTGAACGCTGAGGTGCCATACGTTCGGTGCTAAGATCGGTCGGATCATGAAGACGTACGACTACATCTACCGCGTTGTCATAACGCTTCCGCGTTCGGTCTACAAGGGTACGTGGACACACTCTCCCCTCTCGTTGCTATGCATCTTCTAGATAGATCTTGCATGATCGTAGGAATTTTTTTGAAATTACCGCGTCCCCAACAAAAAACTCCACCAATCCGTGGATGCACTTCACGTAGAAATTATTTAAAAGTATTCACTAGAGTTTCGTCAAACGCCAAGTTTCATGGCCCATGATTTTGCATATATACACCCGAACCTAACTACTCCAGCTCCTAAATGTTTGGGTATCTCATTAGTAAACTCAAATCCATATAATGTCAGTTGTCACCCACGTAAACTAAACTCATGTACTACATTCTACAAAAAGATATTCTCCAACTGGATTCTTCGTTCTCAGCTCATATGTTCGGACTCGTTCAGCACTCCCAAATCTATTTCATACATGATGAGGCACATTTGAGGTTGCCTGGATGTGTTTGGGCGTGTCCGTCATGTTATACTGATAGTTCGGACCCCATAAAAAAACGCAACAATCCCTTATTCTTGGCGCATATGTCCGAGCTGCCTGGTTTGTCTGCCAGCATTCATGGTGTGGCGGCGGCTAACACGGCACCTGAGGAGCCTAGCCCCACGTATTAAACCCAGACGACAAGGGCCAAATGCTACTCCCCCATATTTCCCTCTTTCCCCCTCTCGTCCATGCCGCCATTGCGTCCTTATTCCCTTGTCTGCTATGGTCCGCGACAAGGTCACTTATTACAAGTTGATCACGCAGGAACATCGTGTGGAGTCCACCTATGAAGAGTGTGCCTACCATGCACTGTGTGTGGCCTGCATTACGGCAGGCCACGACTTGAGCTCAGAGGAGGAGGCATGGAGCTTGACCTCGCGTCGTTGGGTTCGAGTTGACCCACGCCGTGGGTAGCGGGGGCAATGACATCCGCTTTTTGCCAATAGAGAGCGCAGAGGAGCAATTTTGCCTCAGGCGGAGCACTTCACGGCGGAGGCGTAGCTCGAGGGCAAGCGTTGACGAGGAGATGCCCTCGATTTGCTCCGCCACCAATGACCACGAGGACTCTGACTCCGACATGTGGGTCATTGGGCTCTCCTTCAACGAGGAGTAGGGGTAGTTTTAAGTTAGTTTTATGTTTTTTCTTTTTGTATGTCCTAGTATGTCAAATGTTACATTTGGTTATCATATGTTTATCTACCTACAAGAAGCGTATGCGCGTTTTGCCGCGCCGCTTGCCTCTGAGCGTCTCTCTGGTAATTGCTCGCATTTTTCGTGTGTTTAGCTAACGTTGTTGCTATTGTTTGTAAGTGGAGCGACCATCGTCCTAAGGTTGCTTCAGTGTGTTCCTTGTATTGGCAGAATATAGGTCAACCACATACACAAGAACAAAGGCCTGGGCAACAGAGGAACAAAAAACTGAAGGACTCCAACAAACAAACGCAGAGAAATAACAACAATATACACAATTGTGAGACACTGCCCCTAGTAAAGGGACAGATGGCACCATGCTCCCCAATGCAAGAACAAACTCTAGCACCCGCGCACCATCACAACAGCCATAACCCCCAAAATCCATCAAATCAAAAGGGAACACGCATCGCCCATAACCCATCAACCAAACACCCCATCAACATTGAATCTTAGGAGTCATGATGACATGACTTCTCCTCCCGTTCTATCCCCAAACCGAAATCAAAATAAGGATTGCAACAAAAGGGAAAACAAAGGATGGTCGATTAACTAATCAAAACGCAATCACATGACATGAAGTAGTTCATGCACATACTCGTTGGACTCGCAACATATTCTAGTCGCCTCAGTGATGTGGAACCCAACCTTGGGCTCCATGATGCCGACAATGAATTTGGCCTTCTTCGCCTTCTTCATCTTTGGCAGGTCTGTCATGGTACCTACACCACCAAAATCAACACCAACGAGGCCACAACATTATTCAATCGTCGTGGTGGAGTAACACCGGTTCAGAGCATCAACGGTGAATAGAAGGTGTTGAACATGGCGAGCTTGAAGGCCTTGTTGAAACAGTTGATGTCCAGGATGGAGGAGCAGACGACGTCCACACTCTGCCAATCTCATTGATAAGCATGGAAGAGCGCTGACTCGAAGAGCAACTAGAGCACCATATTGCTGCTAACTTCGCCTTCGATGGGTGAGTGGTTTGGAAGTGAAGCTACAACACCGACAACAGGAGTATATAGCAAAAAACTACCACATTACAGGCTATGTCTACAAAAAAAACTACCGGGTTTTTAAAATTTTCAAAATGCTACCACAATTTTGGTTCGCTGTTCCAAAAAACCCTAGTGACCAGGTGCTTAACTTTTAATCATGATTATGACATGGAGGCCCCGCTCGTCAGCTCCAGGTGGCAAAAAAATCAACACCGTTATGTAAACAGTTAGTTGACCGTTATGAGCAGGTAGGGCCCACACGCACCTTCTTCTCCTCTGTCTCCCTTTCTTCTCCGGTGGCCTTCTACTGCTCCGGTGGCCTTTGTCGCCATGCTCCTAGTCAAGCTGCAGCAAGGGGGTGACAAGCAGTAGCAACAGCAGGGGGAGCGGACAACAGAGGCAGGGATGGTGGCAAGCATCAGCGGCGGGCGGTGCACGCAGTAGCAGCCGGCGGCGGCGCACACAGCAGCACGCCAAGTGGCGGCAAGAAGCAGCGTGGCCGCGGGGCACGGAGCAGTGCAGCGGCGCGGCAGCAGCGCAGCAAGCGGCAGCGGTGCGGCGGCAAGCAGCAACACAGCAAGCGGCACGGCAACTCGGGCGACCACCACCATGGCCGGCGCTGCCACAGTCAAAGGGACCCGATTGCTTATATATTGTTTTGAAGGGACTGACATGTGGGCTTCACCTGGTCAACCTAACAGTCAAAGTTAACGGTTTGACTTTGATGCCACATCAGACCTGACGGGTGGCCCAGTGTTGTCATAATCATGATTAAAAGTTAAGCACCTAGTCACTTGGTTTTTTGGAACAGCAAACCAAAATTGTGGTAGCATTTTAAAAAATTAAGAAAACCTGTAGTTTTTTATAGACATAGCCTGTAATGTGGTAGTTTTTTGCTATATACTCCCGGCAACAGAGAGACAGAGCAGGGTGCAACGTCACAACCGTCGAATGAACCGACACTACAGTGTCCAGCTGCACTCACAGAAGTAGCAAAGCGACCGTTCTCGTCTATCCTTAGGACCACATGTAAGCAAGACATGTGAATCCGAGACGCACTGCCAAAAAAGGGTAACTAAACAACACGGGGACATTGGGCTGGGCTAAGTGTAACAAGCGACTTGATCGATAGGGTTGTGCAGAAAAGCCACGAACCAAAAATTGGATCGGAAAAACCTTGACCAGAGTCGAAATATGTTAGCAAATGTTGAAAACCAAACTTAGCTCATTGGGCCGAGATATCGCATGAAGGCCTAGGAAAGTAAGCTGAATATGCAATAGAAAGAAGTATAAAAATCACCCTCAAATCCATTCTTTGGGATGCATACCCCCCGAACTCAAAACCGGGACAAATAACACCCTCAAATCATCAAAACCGGGTTAATAACCCCCTTGAGTGGTTTCTCCCTAATTTTGAGTGGTTTTTGTCCCTGATTAGACGCTGACTGGGCAAAAAACTCTGAGTAGGCTACAGTGGGTCCCATTAGTCAGATATCCCTTACTTCTCTCTCTTTCTCATTTATCTTTCGCGAAAATTCCCCAATCGCCGATGAACCCTCGCCTCGCTTTATCTCTCCCAGTCGCCGGCGCCTCGCCTCTGGCCTCTCGCCGCCGACCAGCGGAAGCAATGGCGTCGTCAGATAGCTCCTCCACGAGTCGGGTGTCCTGGGCCACGCAGTCGCCGGTTCCTTACCGATAGGGTCCAATGGAGTACGAGCCGCTGCAGTTTTGCCGCACTCGCCGCCCTGCAGTCCCACTGGCCAGCAGACCTGCGAGACTGTCCGTGGCTCCAACCTGAGCCTCTACCTGATCCCCATCGGCGACGGCGCGGCGCGTGCGTGCCTGCCAGCGCTGGGGGGCGACCAGTTCGACACGGCCGATCCCGTGGAGCAGCGGCAGGAGACGAGCTTCTTCAACTGGTACACCTTCGTCGTGTCCTCGGGCGGCTTCGTTGGCCTAGTGCTCGTCGTGTGTGGGTGGAGAATCGAAGGGGATGGGACATCGGCTTCACCCTGTGCGTACTGTGCGTGCTGCTTGGGATGCCCATATGGATGGCTGGCCTCCCTTTCTACAGGAATCAGTTGCCCGGTGAAAGCACCATCACGAGAATCTTGCAAGTATCCGCCGCGTGTTTGTTTATTCATATTCAAGACTACGATCTGTTCTAGTAGTACTGATGGCAATTCGACCAAATACTTGGCATCAAATAGGTTCTTGTTGTGGCATTCAAGAAAAGAAATGTTCAGTTGCCTGACAACGCAAGTGAACTCAAGCAGCTGAACCAAGATGGATCTCATGGAGCCCGAAGAACCGATGGAGGAGGTACTACAACTGCAGCTCAAATTTCCTCTCTGTTAATCTGTTGCTTCTGAATTTTTTTGTTTCTGATTTTGTTGGTAATTGTTCGCTCGCTCTTGTGAACCTAGGGAGTCGACTGCAGATATATCCTTCGGCATGATGATCCTGCAGCCGGTGACGGACAAGCTGCAAACAACGATGACGGCAGCGGAGGGCGCCTGCTATTGACGAGAAAGAAAGAAAGGAAGGACGCGAGGGGAAAAAGAAAAAAGGAGAGAGACAACTGACTAATGGGACCCACTCAGCGTTTTCTGCCCAGTCACCGCCTAATCAGCATCATGGGGACAAAAACCACTCAAAATTAGACAGAAACCACTCAAGGGGGTTATTAACCCGGTTTTGATGATTTGAGGGTGTTATTTATCCCGGTTTTGAGTTTAGGGGGGTATGTATCCCAAAGAGTGGATTTGAGGATGATTTGTATACTTCTTTCTATGCAATATCCCATCTACCAACCACACCTACACATAGCCTTACCTCAGCCCAAACGTACATAGCCCCCAAACCTAATGTGTTCCATTCTTCACTGCAGCTCCTCCGTCTCCGTTTGCCTACCTCGCATGGTGACAGCAACCGCAAGTGCCCATGACTGAACGCAGTGGCGACCAATCGTTCACACGGCTTCGGCGCACGATAGCCACACTCCTTCACGATCGAAGATGACATTCATAGCACTCGCATAGCAGTTGGTGGCCTGGATGCAACAGTTTTCGGCAACAATTCCTTCCTCCTATCATTTCCGCCCGTGCTTGATACCAGCTCGTATGTTCCATCTTTCTTGCTGAAGATTTGGCTCATGATTTGTTCTTCCAGAAAATATCGGTCCTCCTTGGTCATGATCGAGGACCAAACCAAGTCCTCGATGAAAAAAAAACAATCGGTTTTGCATTTGTATAGTAACCGATCAGTCATCACATATGCAAAGGAACCAAAATTCTTTGTTACTTGAAGAACCGAACGACCAATCTTCCCCCTTGCAGTGACCAAAAAACACCCCATGATTTACGTGCGTGTGAGCCCGGCATGCTAATCAGTTTTTCCCCTCTCGCTAGGGTTGCACCTCTCGGCTGCGGCGACGCAAATGTTGAGTCCCCCGTCCTCCGCCGTCGTCCTCCCTCCTGGTACGCGCTCGGGCTGACTCTGGGGTGTCCTCGCGGCGCTGCCCGGCCTTGGCTGCTACCTCCTGGGATCGGGCGGTTGGAGTTCTCACCCTGCTCCCGCGTGGACTAGGGTTAGGTTTTCTTTGCCATGGCGTCAGTTGATGCAGAATCGGTTGTAGGAGACGATGATCTTCAGGAGATGATGAAACAGCTGGGAATTGAGGATACGGATCTGAGTGATGTGATCTATGAGGAGGTGTGCCCGGAGCCGGTGGCTGAGTCGATTCGCTGGCTGGCAATCGGGCGTGTGCACACTACAAAGGAGTTTGGCGACTTCTGGTTTTACAAGAACATGCGCAGTGCATGGGATCTCGCACAAGATGTCAGGTTCAGATCATTAGGGGACGGGCTATACACGATGCAATTCTCATGTCTTGGCGATTGGGACAAGGTGGAGGGTGGCCCTTGGACCTTCCGTGGCAATCCTGTTCTAATGGCGTCTTATGATGGATTCACAAGACCCTCTTCCATTGATCTAAACAGTTTTAAAATATGGATGCAAATCATAGACCTGCCGGATGGTTTTGAGCCCCTGGTCACAACTCTTGCGGGAACAGCAGGGGAGTTCTACTCCCTGGACAACAGAGGACGAGATGTGGCTGGCAATTTTTACCGTGTGAGAATTGTTCTTGATGTTCGGCATAAATTAAAGAACCATATTTCTGTTGTGAGAAAGAAGAAGAGGCATATATTCAGAGTCAAATACGAGCGCCTTCCAGACTGGTGTGCTCTATGCGGCATGATCGGCCATCTCCATACTGAACATGGTGATGGAGTGCATCCAGTTTCGGCTCTATTCTTCAAGGATCTTCGAGCTACATGGGGGGCGGCAACACGTGCAAATCGTAACACGGATGATGACCCTCGTACTAATTCTTCTGAGGTAAATGATGGGAAAGTGATGGAGGTTGACGCTAGTAAAAAGGATGGTGCAGATATAGACCTAGATGCAAGCAGGAAAAGGGGGCTGACCGGGTTTGGACAGAATGTTACTACGCCTAGTAGTGTCAAGGGCCAGCTCCTTCTGCCTACGCCGGCGAGTGTGCCTGCTAGCCCATCCGCAAAACAGGAGCAAAAGAGGTTGAGGTCAGATCAGAATGCAAACAAATCAAAAACATTGTCCACTACGGCGGGTTCCCAGGCGGAACGCCGCCAGGACAAATGAATCTCCTGAGTTGGAACTGCCGGGGAGGGGGGAACTCCCGGACAGTTTGTGATTTAGCGACTATGGTTCAGTCGCATTCCCCCACCATGGTGTTTCTATGTGAAACTCGGCAATCAAAAAATCGTATGAAAAGATATCGAGCTCATTTGGGACTTCAAGGTTTTGATGCAGTAGACAGTATTGGTAATAGTGGTGGCTTGCACTGTTTTGGCACGAATCGCTGTCTGTTGAGGTGGTTTTCTCGAATCAGCGATGCATTGATGCACAAGTTAAGGCAGGAGCAGATGATCCACCTTGGCGCCTAACTTGTGTTTATGGAGAACCAAGGGTAGAAGATCGACACAATATGTGGTCTCTGTTGGAAAATTTGAGTGCTCAGTCTGATCTCCCCTGGCTTGTGGTTGGTGATTTTAATGAATGCATGTGGGATTTTGAACACTTCTCGATGACACCACGACCAGCTGGGCAAATGCAAGCTTTTAGAGATGTTTTAGAAACAAGTCAGTTGGCTGATTTGGGATTTTTGGGTGTTCCCTACACCTATGATAACAAGAGGTCAGGTAATGCAAATGTTAAAGTTCGCTTAGATAGGGCAGTGGCTAACCCAGCATGGAGGAATCGATTTGATTACTCGCTGGTCCAGCACCTTACCTCTCCTTGTTCGGATCATGCACCTCTTTACGTAGCTACTGAGTTACTGGAGGATCAGCAGTACAAACCGAGGATTAGGCGTTATGAAGTTATGTGGGAACGGGAGCCAGCTTTACAGGAAGTCATTGCGAATGCATGGGAGGCTGCTGGTCAAAAAGTTTCTCTGGGCGATGTACATGGGGCTCTACGTGAAACAATGCGTAAACTTTGTCAATGGAGTAAAACAAAGTTTGGTAGCGTTATTAGAGATATAGAAAAAACACGTACTCAACTAGAA